TATTTTTTCGTTATTTCTTATAGGTAAATTTTATTCAATAAAAACCTGAAAAACAGTAATATAAGTAGTCTTCGTACTAACTTGGGGACATACTCAATGTATTGCAATCTGTAACATTGCATGTAACATTGTATATAAACATCGCATAACATTGATGATATATAAAGCCCATATAAAGCACATATTCTGAACTCTCTTTTATCGATAAAAATGCTTCTAAAGATAGCTTATAGTCTTCTGATTGATTATAAGATATATTTAGACTTTTATCGATAAAAGAGAACATGAATTATAATAAATAATTATTATAGTTTCTATTTTTATGTAAATAAAACAAAATATATATAAAGTTTTTAAATATCTACGTGAGTTGACTTATCTTCTTATCTCTTTCTATGTCTGTAAACACAGTTTTGATTCCATGTTCTATTGCCTAGTACTATATAGAGACCTCTATCGTTTAAAGTTGACGTCTAAAGTATAAAAAAATATCTCAGATAAAAATTTTAGATTTATAACAAAAACATATGATAGTGTTATCAGTATGGTACATATGGTACATATAATAGTGTTATTGATTTGGATAGCTGATTTCTTTAAATAGCTTTGAATTAATTTGAAAGTCGTATGAAAGAGAATGTCATTTTTTAAAATAAAATTATAATTTATTTTTTTACTTATATGATTTTTCCAGTTTTAAATATAAATATATTTTAAATATAAAAGTATTAAAATAAATACTTGATATTTTTATCAAAGAATAATTTACAAATCTATTTTGTATTTCATTCTAGCATATTTTGATATAAAATATAAAATATCTCATCAAGTATTAATAATTATTAATTAATAATTTAAAATATATAAACGTAGTTTCATTTTTATACACAGAATAGTAAAACAAATCAATAAGCATAAAAAAAAGCATAACTGCCATAAAAAATATTATCAATACAATTTTCAATTGTAACAATATGCAATTATATATATATATATTTTTTAATATGTTTTTCTTATACTAATTAATTTATTTTATTATTTTATAAAAATATTGAGCCATAATTATCAAAAAATAAATAAATTATGAGATACTTTGTATTTCATGTCAAAATATGTTAAAATATACCTCATAAATTGATTTTTATAACTTTACCTTAATGTTAACACATACAAAGTGACTGCAGAAAAAGTTCTGTAAAAAATTCACTTAAGTCTATTTTTAAAAATGTGATCATGTTATCTTGAAATGGCTTTCTGATGTCGAATCACACTATAACATATCCCTCTTAAAACCCTAAAATTCTTAAGACATTTCTTTATATAAATTTAAAATATGACTTTTTATTAAAATTAGATATTCTATATCCTAATTCTTTCCGTATTTTTTATATATTTTTCTGGTCTTCATTATTCTTTTCTGTTTTCTCACTAATCCATTTGTTATTTGACTAAACATATGCAACAAATATAAAGCAATCAAAATTCAACACAAAAAGAAGATAGAAAATAAACTACATAATAAAAGATTATAAAAATTTGTACTGTATGTGATAATTGTAATATCAAAAAAGTTTTGTATTTGTTTATTAATTTAAAATAAAGATTTGAAATGTACAAGTTATCAAAATTATAATTATAACAGTTTTATTACACAAAAATTTAGTTTTATTAAGAAATATTATATTAAATTTAGAGACAAATATAAAAAAATTAACAATTCAGAAAGAACATTACTCAGTAGACTAGATCTATCTAATTTTATTTTTTATTGAATTTATATCTAAAAATTCAGAACAATTACTTATATTGCTAATTATATACCATTATTTTAATAAATTCACGATGCAGCGTTAAATTTATAAAATGTAAAATTAGCCGATAATACATTATAACTTAGATAGTATAAACATAAGATAAAAACACCATATATGCTATTATGCATAGTGAATTGTTCTAACATATAAAATAAAATTTTTCTGGTAAATATAAAATTATATAACAATAAAAAAACATGTAATATATTATATAATATATTCATATATAAAAAGAAATTCATACTCTAGATCTATTATATTATATTATATTATATCTATATCTATATATTCATACTCTAGTTTCTATTTTTTCTAATAAATATTATTAGTGCTCACGTATTTACCTTGATTATTTTATCACCTGCATGAAGACCAGCTCTTGCTGCTGCGCCACCTATAACATGAATCATTTTTGTAAGAATATTAATAATAATAAAGACAACAAAATTTTTCTCCTAATCTTGAAATAAAACTAGAGGTTTCAGTTTTTTGGATATTAAAAATAAATTTGGCTTTTAATTTATACACCATTACATTAGAACTCCAAATAACATATTATAACAGGTTACAATATTTATAAAATAATATACCAAAGTTATATAATTGTGCATGAAAAATTTACATATTATAAAATTGTATATATCTTTTTGAAGACTATAAACAAGTATCTCAAAATTTGTCCCATCGCCGCTTTTTACTTTTATTTATAATCCTTTAATTTCTTATTCTGAAAGAATCAGAATTTACAATCATATCTCTTTTATATGCAAGAAAGTACAATACAATAAAATATGCATTATATATTTTTTATTGCATGTTTTTAGAATAAACATGTTTTTACAAAAAATAAACATGTTTTTATAATGTTCACTTTTTGTATTATTTTACAAACTTTATAATTTTTAAATTATGATATAATACATAAATTTGGAGGAAAAAAAAATGCAAACTAATATATTAACTAATAATTTATGAAAAAGAGAAAAATTTGTGTGTGTGTATGTGTGTGTGAAATGGGAGTGTACATAGTAAATGTACAGGTGTGCATATGTGCGTGTTTATGCGCGCGCGCTAATGTATATCTATATTAAAAATATGCAGTATTTCCTAAAATTTTTCACAAAATTGTAGTATCTGATGTGACTTCTAAATTCTTAAAATTTTGATTCTGTTGATGCAAATATGAAATTTTAATGCGAACCTTCCTTTACAGATTGAACGTAAACTGGATTATCGCCAGAAACTTTCATTCCAAACCCAGCGTCGTCTTTGTATACGACCAGAGTGGCGATGGGTGCTGGTTCGATGGCTCCACCACTGATGGCGCCTGCACCAGCCCCGACGCTGCGTCGTAGCGCCGCCGTTCCATTCATCCCTCCTTCAAACTCCACCCCGTCCTCACCTCTGTTGCTACCGATCTGTCATAGTAGTTTCTCGTATGATAAAAAACATTTTAAAAATGTCTATATATTTGATGAAACAAAATTAGTTCTTCGAATTAAATTCTTAACACATAACATTCTCGACACATAATTATATACACATTTTCATACAAAGTACATAATTAAATCCAAAATTTTATATAACCTTTTCTTCAAAATCTAATTACCAATCTATGCTACATAACTCGGTGGTCGAGTTGAAGGCACCTCTTTCCCCACCTGGGGATAAACGCAAAACACACACACACACACATACACACACACATACACACACACATACACACACACATACACACACACACACACACACACACACACACACACACACACTACACCTATTACCAAATTTCATTTTCTTCGTGGAATATATAATAATATATATTGTATTGTACAATATATATTTAGTACATCCATTATTAAGTGATTTAAGTAAATAATACATGTTATAAAACATTTTTGGCTTATCATACAAAGAGCATATTCAAAAATTTCAAAACGTCAAGACTAGTTTTTAAATGGGAAGCATTTAAGGCCCTAGCACATAAAAAAATTTAAGCAGTAAAGCATTTAAGGCCCTAGCACATAAAAAAACTTAAGCAGTAAAGCTTAAGGATCCATTCTATATAATTCTATATAATAAGCTGTAACAGGTCATGAATCTGAAGCTAAGAATTGACCAATCACAGATTGAATATAAATAAGCATACTTGACTATGATTGGCCAATTCTTATTTTCTTACTTATGATCTATCACTTATGGCTTATTATAGAATGGCACTTATAGGCTTTCTACAATAAGCTATTAGTAATAGATCATAAGTCAAAAAATAAGAATTAATCAATCACAGATTAAATATAATAAGAATACCTGACTATGGTATTGGAATTGATGGTCAATTCTTATTTTCTGACTTATAATCTATTACTTATGGCTTATTGTAGAATAGCATTAAAGTAAGGAAATCAACATTATGGATTTACTACTGCTTATATTACTGTCTTACATTCTCAACTGTAATTGGCTGATTCGCTGCTAAAGTTTTTTTATGTGCCCCGGCTCTTAAAGTTCATCAATTGGTTTGCGGCATAAGTCAAATGTAAGAAAAGAACAACAGAAACATAAACAAAATTTAGATAAGAAACATAAATACATCAAAAGATAAAAGAAGCTATTTTGAAATGATAAATATCTCTCTTATATTTTGCTGTTCTCTCTTTGTTTATTTACGCTTTATAGAAGTTTTATTTATGCTTTTGTAGTGTATTTTCCTCACACCCATTTACACTCCGATTTTTGTCAGAATTACAAATCTTAGTTTCAGACACTTTTTAAAAAATTAAAATAAAATTTTGGTTGGATCTATTAACTTGGCAAGATCTGAAAGAGAGAAGAAAAAAAATATTATAATCCAAGATCAATAGTTTTCAAAATTGATTTTTTTTTATACATAGCATATACATATAATTCATATTTAAAAATTATTTTTATAAAAATTATCAATTTTGAAACATTATAATATGTAACTTTTTACATCTTTCTTTTTCTATCATTCTGTCAAGTGATTAATCGATCCAAACTTCAACATATTGCTATTGTTAATTGTTGAAAAAACTAAAGCGTCTGAAGCTGAACGTTTGAGATTCTTAATATAGATATATCCAGAAAAATTATCTTTTGCAACAAACTGTATTTCGAATGTGTGTTTCCACTTTTGTGTTTTCCTTTCTATTAATCATGTCAACATATCAATATTTTAAGAAATATATGGGAATAATCAAAAATGCTAAAAACCAAATATATTCAAATATATTCAAATATACTCAAAATTGATTCAATTACACAATGGTATATATTTTTTATTAAAACAGTTATAATTAACGTAGAGTTGATAGGTTTCTATTACTTTATATTTATTTAATGATCGATAAGTATAAGATATAGAAAAAGAAGAAGAAAAGATGATGATCATATAGTTACATTATAGATCGTATAGTTACAGCTAATTATATAATTGTGCAGCGGATTTGTTTTAATTATAAAACACAAATGGGCAATATTTTAAACTATTTATCTTTTATAATATTCATGAAAAATTAATAGGCGAGATATAACTGTATATAATCATCTAAATAAGTATCTTATAGATATCTAATAAATGTTTTATAAGCATCTTATAGAAATGTTTCATAAACATCTTAAATAAATGTCTTACAGTCCTTTAAATAATACAAAAAAGTCTAATCAATCAAATTTTCAACATCAATGGATATTTTAGATATTAATTTATTGTCTTTTCAACTTATCATTTCTTACTGGAAATGACTTACTATACTGCAAGAGCTTTAACTATATCAAGATTATCATAGAAATATGCAATATGTTTAAGAAATTGTTTTTACTTTTATATAAAACCTATTTATGCCTTATATTTATAATATCACATAATTAATATCGAAACGTAATATCACAAAGTATCAATTCATTAGCAAGATATCAAGTTATATCAGCTGTTAAAATAAATTCATTATTATATTTATTAAGATAATATATATTATTCTTTCTTTATAAAAGTGTACAAAAAGTATAAGTATACAGAAGAAAAGTATACTATTAAAAATATATAAATAAAAAAAAATAATGATCTAGACCAGCCAACTTTTTTATCTAGCATGCTATTGTAGATGTTTGTTCTGTGACATATCACTCTATTATAGAATTAAGCAAAAAATACTGAAATTTTACTTATACTTTCTTATTTTGTATTGAAAGAACATAAAAGATTTCGTTTGTTTAACAAAGTTTATTATTTTTTATTTAATATTTTTTCTGATAGCATGTTTTTTTAAGCATGTCACTAATAGTACACATTAGTACACATACGCGAGTTGGCTACCTTTGATTTAGGTTATTCAGTAGATATTCCAATCCAAGAAAACACAATATTTAAAAATATAAAAATTACATTAAACACTTTTAAGATTATAAGAATAATATTTAAAGCTATAAAAAACGAAAACATTGATAGCAAAAAAGATATGCAAATTTGAACCTGTAATAATGATAAAATTTAAGAAGTCGAAATGGATAAGCACGATCAAGATACATGAAATTGATAAAGCATTAGATATATAAATAACAAAATTTAATTATAAAATAATAGGTATATGCAGTGTAATTACCTTTCATTTAATTTTTACTTAATAGCAGCAATCGAAAGCAAATGGGAATCTTCAACGGGACGAGAAAAGATGAGACGAAGAGAGACGAGAAGAAACGAAAAGGGACGAAATGAGACGAAACGAGACGAGGCGGGACGAGCAGAACGGAACGAGACGGAACAGGGCGGGATGGGACGGGACAAGATGAGATGAGATTGAGATGAGATGAGATGAAATGAGATGAGATGAAACGAGATGAGATGAAATGAGATGAGATCAGATGAGATGAGATGAGATGAGATAAGATAAAATGAAAGGAAAGAAGAGAAGAGGAGAGGAGAGGAGAGGAGAGGAGAGGAGAGGAGAGGAGAGGAGGAGAGGAGGAGAGGAGGAGGAGGAGGAGGAGGAGGAGGAGGAGGAGGAGGAGGAGGAGGAGGA